CTGTTTTACAAAAAATATGTACCTACTTACATAAAACAGTCTTGAATAAGCATAGACATGCACTTGCATGTACGGATGCAAAAAAATTCAACCTACCAAGAAAGTCCGTCTAGACTTATAAGGAAGTTTGAGGTCAACTGTTTATATCAGTAAGTTTCCTTCTGTTCTTATTTTGGCTGCAAGAATCATCCCAGCAGATGCTAGTAATAAACATTCGTTTACAAACAGTACTATAACTGGAATTCCAGCTCATGAGTCGTGCTAGTACCTGCATACCAAGACTAATAAATAAATCCTAAAAGTGAAAGAGTTTGGACTTGTGAAGATATTAAGCAACTTGTAGTCCGGCGTAAACGTTCAGTAACGTGAGGATTCAAAATGAAAATTAATAACAAAGAGAATTCAATAATTAAGGATAATTAGAAACAACGAAAGCAAAACAAGCAAACCAAATAGGAACGATTTAGAAAATACTACAAATGGCGTAGTAAACGCCATCTGTAGCACGATGCTACATTTTAGGATTACGTATGCTCCAACAAGGTCCACTTGTGTAGATATCTACTTGCTGAAAACGAATCCCGGAGTAGCCAACCTCAACGTGATAGGCACGTTAGCTTAATCGAATAAAATAATTAGAAGTGGTCTGTATTCTGTCGAAACTGCCAGACGCGGATCGCGATTTCGATCTTTTTGGATCTCATCAGCGCGTCGCAGGCAGCTCCGACAGAACACAGACCAACTTTTACCTGCTGTTTGAGGTTGGCTACGCCGGGATTCGTTTTCAGCAAGTAGATATCCACACAAGTGGACCTTGTTGGAGCATACGTAATCCTAAAATGTAGCATCGTGCTACAGATGGCGTTTACTGCGCCATTTGTGGTATTTTATAAAACGCACTGTTAAAACAGCAGGTAAAAGTTGGTCTGTGTTCTGTCGGCGTTGCCTGCGGTGCGTCGATGAGATCCAAAAAGATCGAAATCGCGATCCGCGTCTGGCAGTTTCGACAGAATGCAGACCACTTCGAATTATTTTATTCAAATAGGAACGAATTTCGTTTGTTTATTCAACAAAGACAAATTAACACATTTGGAAACAATTAAATACAGAATCAATCGATCATTTTATAACTGATATAAATAGCTTTCAATATTAATTCGAATTAAAATTATTACATCCCGAATGGACTTCAGTCTCCAGAATGCGTTGCAAAAGAGCTTTGCTTTTTTTCACAGACGTATCATTTGGATTAGACACCACATCCTTTTCCCCTTGGTCATCCGTCTTGTTCTCTTTCATCAAAGACATGAACAGGTCGTGAAGGTACAAGCCTCGCTCCATTCGTTCGTTACCCTGGTTTGGATTTTTAGACAATTCTTCCAACGCTCCAGACAGTAGAAGGCCTGCCTTGGAAGATTTTTTTACCGCAGCCGGATTGCTAAAAGCTGATGATGGCGTCTGATTCAAAAGCATATTTGCTGGTAGGAATGCGCCGCTTGTGGAAGTGTCGTCGCTTAAAGCGTTTGGATTGTGTTTTTGACGTCTCGGCAAACGGTCCAAGTGTCTGGTTACATTAACCTGTTGGCGCTCCACTTGGAGCTGCATTTGCATTTGGTGGAGCTGAGGTGGAGCACTAGAATTCGTGTTACTGGCAGATCTATGGACCCCAGACAGCTGCGAAAGCAGTTCTGCAATGGGATCTACAGTTTCCCTAGCTGTTGAAGAGAGAGATGTCAAACCTGCAGAACTAAACACGCTGTAGTGCATATTTGAACGCCTTGGTCTTGATGACTGAGAACCTCTTCCACCTCCACCACCACCACCAAGATGTTGTGGAACGCGTCGGATGTTGTGAGCACTGTGTGCTCTCCCCAAAGGCTCATCCAGGAATGATATGAGATCTCTCGATCCACTTCGGTGTTCTAATGTCAAATGTCGTGAGAAATCGTCCACCATAACATTGGGATCGCCGTCAGGAGTTGCTGCACAAACTGGACATATTACCTCGAAGGAAGTTTCATTGTGTTCAGAAATGACATGATCTTGAAGAGTTGCGTCGGTGAATCCCATACGCGAGCAGAACGGGCATGTGTAGGATTGAGGCTGATCGATATAAGTTAAGGCTTCTCCTCCATAATACAATTCATAATCAGCCCTGGTAAGGATACACTGCATAGGATGATCTGCGTTATGCCTTGTATTTGTTGCACCCGCTTCGTAACAAGCTGAACACAAGTCGTAATCATAGCAAATCAAACATTTGTAACGTTTTCCTTTGAAGTTACCCTTTTGACAGGAATCGCAGCTTACACCTTCGTGTCTGCTCATTGCAAACACTTTTTTCTCTTTTTTTTTCAAATAACAGTAATTATTGTGAAAGGTTGCTAACGAAAATTTTCACTATAAACCCAAATGCATTTTATAACTTCACAAAAATTCACAAAAGTATATTAAACAACTGTCACTGAACTTTATGGAATTCAAAAAAATACTTATTTCAATTACTCAGCTCTGAGAACATATTCAGTTTCAGAGGTATTTTGAAGTCTAACCTAGCGTAAGCAATGAATGCCTATTTGAAATATTTTGTTAATTTTAGAATTTAAGCGTCTTGATTTTAACAGAAAAATACTTTTATTAATATGAAAAGAAATGGCGGTAAGATTTTATTAATTTGTCATTACAAATCAGCGAACTATTATATTAAAATGTTATTTTTGTTAAAAACAATATAACATTAAATAATTTTTGCTAGTCTAAAAGAAGGTACATTGATAAAAAATATTGTAGATTCCTTTATATTTTCATTTAACTAAATAGGCAGCACAAGATACTTAAAGGATTTCTTGTTGCAAACAAATGTGTTTTAGATTTTTAACTTTTAATATGATTTATTGTGTAAAACATTAGATACATACTCATTTCTCGTGAAATACTTAATAGTAACAGTAATCAAAAGTGGGTAAATATGTATTGAATGTACAAAACACTTTTTTTTTGAGTCGCTGAATTTGAAAGTAAAAATCCCTAAGAATATTAATACATTTTAAATAAATATATTTTTTATTCTTTCACTTCAAGAAGCCAGTGTGTGGCAAAATAATGTGGACTTCTTACAATAACAATAAAATAAAAATCGGTAACTAAACATTGTGTTTATTGTTATCTTATTTACAAGAAGGTAAAGCTCGATTCAATTCTAAATTCATTTAGACATTCAAATATTCAAAAATATCTCTTTCATATGTTGCAATCCATCTCAAATTTTAGATGCTTCCATTTTTTGTGAATTTTTAGTCTGCTGTAAGTCAAAAACTTTATACTTTTTGCATTCGTTGCTCTAGTTAAAAGACTGATTGACCTGGAGATTTAGACCATTCGATTCTGGATCCTTCTGTCTTGGTCCATGATTTTCTGAAGTTTCCTTACATCTCTTGTTATGCCAAAGTTTAGGAAGTATTTTTATACCACCGATAAACTTCCACTTCTCTATTATCTTCATTTGGTATCATCCTTCTGATTTCAACCACTGTCCATCCATTACAACGATTGCTAAAAGAAATACAGTGTAAACTGTTTATAACGTCACTCGATTTAACGACAAACTCCTTAAAACGTCGAAATTGCTTGACTTTGGTTGGTTTACATTGTTTTCTATACAATATTATACCCTATATAGCGTCACGCTCACTCTATTTAACGACAACAATGCGGCATTATAAATCATTGAGCAGTACCTTCTAAGTTGCCGAAATAGATAAGAACTGCAGCTGTGTACGTTGTTGAAGAAGACGATCTTGTCCCTCCACCAAGCATCAAACATGCACTTGATGCAGCGAAACTATTAAAAAAATACTTTTTATATAATCAAATTGATCCAGCAGTATCTCAAGATAGGAGTAAGATACGTAACAAAATACAATTAAAATATTGGAGCAGCAAAAAACATCAGACGAAGATAACAGGCTATACGCAATATATGAATAATAATGTTCGTGTGCAAAATGTGTACTATATTGGTAAATGCATATTATTATAGAATAGTAAAATAATATCTTTTATTTCTATCCATTTAACGACCACTCTTTATAACGCCGAAAAATGTTCAGTCCCTTAAGTGTCGTTATATAGAGTTTACACTGTAACTGAAGAGGACCTTCCATCTTACCATCCGAGTATTCTAGCGGAACTGCGTATCCATCATTATACTATCTCGTGAGAATATCACATCCAAACATTAAAGCTAGATTTCTTCAAAATTTATACCTTATCACAAAGATATAATTTTGAAGTTTTCTTCTTGTACCTCATCCGCTCCCAGCATCATCTCAAATATTCGGATTTTATCTACAGCGTTCCATGCAGATCAGTGGCGATTACCCGGCATCATTTTCAAACTCTGACCAGCCATAAGATTCGCCTTCTGTCGGAACCTTTCTTACCATCTACGATACGTATTTGCCCTGGATGATATTTCGTAGTTTGTAGGTACTCGCAAAACTTCTCCAATTCCTTTCCATTCAACCCTCAAAGGTTTGTACATAACAGAACAATGAATGTAAAGTGCATTGCCCTTTGGAAGATGCCGCAGTACTACATACCACTACGCCATCAACTTCCAACGATTTCGTTTAGAAAACAGACGACAATCGCAACAACAATTAATAAAAGAAACAATAGATTACAAGCACGTAGACTGTATTAGTTACATCACCTTTGTTTGCGTACATATAATACCGTATTAAGCATCTACGTACCTATACACAGATAATATGCACATCGTTGAACCTGCATGTCGTATAGGTACGTAAAAGTGCTTTCGTTATTATCTAAAATTGCGCTATTTTTCCCTCAAACTCTCTCTCCGTACGACGACGTCGTTTCTCAAAGAACAATGGGCTCGTGCGACCCACTTTGGATAAATTCCCTGTCATACGAAGCGAACTGTTTCAACCAGCATTGGCAGTTAGCAGTTCCAAAGAATCGTTCTTCAAGAACGTTCCAAGTGAGAGTTCATCCTCGTCTTGGTTACTATTTGTCGTCTGTAGGTACGCTCTGATTGTTCGTAACAATAACAATAATTCCGCTATTTTTGTGGTACCTGCCATCAGATAGATAACAGTCTTGAACAGTGACTGATTATTAAGCTATCAGTGTGGCTATTAGCAGATGTACCTAATTCGGTGGATGTTGTTCCTTTGGGCCCTGAGCTTCATAGGGTGCCAATCTGTTGTGGCCAATCAGACCCATGAACATAAAGACTCGGTGGGTAAGTAATTTTGTATAATAATAATAATATAAGGATATTTAATAAAAAACAAAAGGAACATCCTCATATAATAAGTACCCTTTAGATGGGATTGCCAAATGTGGAAAGTCGATTTTAATCAATATAAGAATAGGTATTAAATGATGGATATTATGCAAAATTGTAATTGGTAACAAGGACAATACTATTCGTCCTAGTTGCACATTTCTTCGTTTTTAAAAGAAAAGTCTGATGAACGAGAATTGTAAAGCATGATTGCGTTTGATGGATCATGGAATCAGTTAAATGTTTTGATGTTTGGCACCTTTTTAGTCAAAAAAGCAAATAAAAAGATTTAAAAACGAAAAGAAATAATAAGAGACAGTTTATTTGAAAAGAGAATAAAAATCTAAAATGCTTTCTTATTTTGTTTTCGTATAATGTCGTCGCCGGCATCATCTAGTTTTGAATTTATATCGCCTTCTATTGGTATCTGCTATTAACTGAAGCATTTCAAATGTTAGACGAGGACCTTGTTAGGATATCTGCAAGAACTGTAGGTATTTAAATTCTTGATCACTAGTTTACTGAAACTATCGGTTGTGAATCGCGATTTCGATTCCAAAAACTTGCGCAACTATCACGCATGTGTATACGGTGAGTTGTTGATTCAGTTGCAGTTCGTAAAGCCCTTGTCGAGACTACTTGTATGAAGTGCTGATGAGATCCAATAAGTTTGAAATCGCGATACACTGCTCAAGAACGTTTTGCCTCAATAGGACACTCCTTCATCAATTCATTAGCATTCTTTCCTTTTTATAAACTAAACAGTTAAACAAAATTTAGTAATTTTGTAAAAAAAAATTTTAGTCGCAAACAGATTATAAAAAAATATAGTAAGTTAGAGTGAACTTTGCTTTTGATAAATTCAATCACTGTTTTCTCCTTAGTAAAGGGCGTGTTTAGGTGTAGTACCAATTCAATTTACCCCGAAATTGACCTTTACTGAAGGTAAAGCATTGCGTAGGTAGAAATTGATTGGTTTTCTATTGAATATCCTGATTATCAAATCCGGGCAGAAATGACGCCCAATCAAATAGGAAAAAGAAAAGTTTGTTTATTGCCTTTCTTTTTGGAGTAATTTCGAAAAGTTCAGCATCTATTTAAGCACTTTCGTTATTACTAGACAAAAAATCGTTTCTTTATTTGTACGTCAGAAATCCACAAAGACTTAGCGGCGGATATACCTATATTATGCAAACAGAGATTTTCTTCGCCAAATGGAACACGTTAGAGCGAATATCCTTCAATTTTTTCCACTATTTTTTCGGCTTCCTCTTTAGGTTTTCAGCATACTTAAGTGTAGGTAATTAAATGAACAAGGTGTATAGGTGGATACTGTCCTGTGGCCATTACACAAGAAAATTTGAAACAATGCATCTGTTTAGGAAATGCCAAAATACTTCTATATTATGTTTCCTAATCATTTCAAAACACAACACAACACCTTCTTAGGCAAAAAGTTGCAAATAAAGGTACGAACAACAGCAAATTGACTAAGAGATAATATAGTAAGTATATCCAATAGGTAAATTATTTGTTTCAAATGAAATTGGAATTTCTAATTGAGACTACTGTTCACAATGTGGAATGTTCTAGTTTTCATTAAGAATACGTACACCCCATAAGCATATTTAAGGATAATTCACACACGCACCACAACCCCTGTCCCTCACCATTCCGTTTAGACTTAAATTTAGAAAAGAAAGATTTTTGATCTGCAATAATGATCTACTTTTAAATAAACAATTACAATTTCTTATTAACATTAAAATATTCTGTTGTATTATGAAATAACGGAAATTTTACGGACATTTTAAGTCGTACATGAAAGGATTTTCGTTCTATTTTTTTGCGGATTCATCATAAGGGTTACAAACTTTTCAGTTCTAAGTTCGTTAGGTAACGACCGCCCCCGTGACGTCGTGACAGGACCAGAATACCTGGACACCCTCCCCTCAATTAGCCTTACTTGAAGAAAATCCAAACGAAAAACGGGAACTCTCGTCAGGCATGGAAAAAAGGCACTTTTGTAGAGAATTGCTCAGAAAACTATTAAGCGAATCAATTTAAAATTAACAGGGGTTCTCTTTTTGTGGAGATGCGTGTCCAATCAGTCATAGGTCACAAGACCCTATGATGATAATGATGAGGGTATTATTCTAATTGAGAAAAAGAAGATTTACCAAAATCAGGAATTGCTACCCTTATCCTGTCATTAAATGATAATAAACCCTTAGAACAGTTCGCAGGTAGTACCTATCACTATTGGGAGGAAAATCCGCTCCTTCCAAAAAGCTAATTAAATGGTGGTTTCTTTCAAAAATTGACTGAAATATAACTGATTTTGTGTGCATTAGTCTAAATTCAAAAACTTATTATTGTGCATTTCGTCTAACACCTAAATTTCATATTTCTTAAACAATTTTCGCCTGCGACAGAAATTCTACTAATTTGTTTTTAAAACTTTATTAAGCTGCCTTATTAAGAAATCTACCAGCAACATAAAATGACCGAAAAGGCGTTTTTTCGCTGTAAGCGTAATCGGTGCGTCTATCTCCTCTAATAATACAACTTTCTGGAAGTAACCGCTAAGACGTATACTAAAAACATAAACATCGATATCCAGGATATTCATATTTTTAACGAACACACTCAACAAATATACATATAGTACAATTGTGCAATAATGTAATGTAATTTTGTGGAGCAATCCCATCTTGCGAAACAATGTTATGGAATTACCTGATCATTAAAAATCTAAGTAATAGATCTAAACTATACCTACTTTCCATATCCAAGATGTTATGGGTTAACTTGAATCTTTAATTAAAAATTACCATCCTTTTGACTCGTTGGTCGTAGAGTCATAGCTAAGATGTGGTAGTGGCTTTCGCCAAAGAAATCATTCGATTATTTATTGTATAGAAGAACGTCATGGTTAAAATGTAAGTGCTATGCATGATCGACAACTGAACCCATCCGTTCAAATTTGGACGGATTGTACTAGTACTGACATAGTTTTAGTGAAGCGTAAAATAACAGGTTAATTCTTGGCTAAAAGGACACACAACACTAGCTATTATGTACTCAAGTCAGTCGTGGTAATTAGGATCCTTAATTTTCCCTTGTTCTTAACAGCTGAAGAGTCCTCGTCGTCTTCAAGAAATAGCGATAGGTTCCTCGAGATTCCGTTACCGTACTCCCACATTGAGGAGGAAAACATAGATGACGACGAAGGCTACGGACGCGAAAACGCATTTCCCGAGTTTTCCAACCGATGCTCCGATCGTATGGAAAAGGCCCTCGAGAAAATGCGACGTCGACAGCTCGCCAAACAAAGGGCTCTCAACCTAAATGGATACTCTCTACACAAGCAACTGCGCTCGGTACCTTACGACGTTTATGTTACAGACATGCGAGTCCGGGTGCCCACTTCCACCAACTGGGTAAGAGACCATTATTTTATGTAAGATCTTTTGAAGAGAAAATGTAAATGGATGCGAGACCGGTAACGGCTTTAAGAATTTAAAACGCGACATAACTATTTTATTTATTAAAAGTCTCGAGTCATCTTGCCATTTATTGCATATAATGGGGCCATTTTTTCCATTCTGTCTAGAAAAAATGAGTTGAACGATCCAATTCACCCAATCTTAACATTATTTAATACGACAATTACATTTTAGTCGAGTTTTATATCTGTATATATAAAAAGATTCATTATGAAAAACTGACTCATCAAAGCCTAAGTTTTGGACCTAGATAACTGAAAATTTACACAGAGCTTTCATTTATGATGCATAGAAAATATAAGGAAGAATATCTCGAAATTCAACTCCTAAGGAAAGTGAACGGGCATTCGTTTTTGGTCGGATTTATTTGGAACTCGGCCTTAATGGTCTTTGATTAATCTTTGAAAAGGCAAAAAAAGTCTGGTTACGGTTGGTAACACTCCGTTCTCCGTTCTCTATTTTTCTTTATTATTTAAGTAATACTGCAGCGGGCACGAGCGTGTTTGTGTCCGATCGGGCATACGTGTGTGTGAGCGGCTTATCGATTCGCCGACTAGCCGCGAGCGCCTTTCTTCATGTGCGCCGTATCTGTAAACATGTGTGTCGTACCTGCGTTCCGGGAAAGCAATTAAACAGTTCTAAGAAAACGAAACTTTTCCGGACGGCTCGAGAATGTTCCCGAAAAGAAGCAAGGAAGTATTTAAAGGAAGAGACGATCGCCGAGGAGAGTAGAAATAAATTGACCGTTGCAGAAGTGAATCAAGAAATAAATTGACAGTGATAGAAGTGAAATAAATGGAACAGTGAATAGTGACAGTAGTGTAAATAAATAGAATAATTACCTAAGTTTAGTAATAATTTAAGTGTTTAATAATAATTAGAGTAAATAAATAGCTTTTGTCGTTGTGAGTCTTAAAAGTTAATTTGTTAAACCCACGAACATTACAATACCAAAAGGTTCCTTTGGATATAGCTAAAATGTGCCAACAAAATTACTTATTTGGTAACAATGTTTAAACAAAACAATACAAGTACAAATTTATATATATATTAATTCCAAAGGCTAACTTGTTATAGTAAAGAAATATCCACTTAATTATCCTTTCTTTTTACTTTCTTTGTTTCAAGCATTAGGAACTTGCAATAAGGAAATAAACTTTTTGGGTAATATATTTTGAGTAGTAAGTTATAAGCTCAACGATATAATTGAATGCCCTCTCTATTTTAAGAGAAGAACAATGGCCAATTATTTACGCAAAAAATTAGATAATGGAACCATAAAAAACCAACAATACTAATAATGTATCAGTTATATTTCTTTTAATGTATTTTGGCGTTACGTAACAAGGTAATGTGCGTACCAATGCGTTTATTGCAACGCAATTGGGTTGTATATTAATTTAATATGCAAAGAAAAGCAAAAAACATGAAAAGTTTGTGTGTCCCACCAGCCTTAGTAGTTGGTGAGAATTAAACACACAAACTGTGGTGCAAGACCAGACTTCAACTCCGGAAATTATAGGAATTGGTAAGTGATTATTCCGGAAAGACAAATGAGACGGACGAAATGATGTTATAAGAGAAGTCAAAGATTTTATCTGTAAAATATTCCTGTCCCAGAAGTTGCCTAAATGATCCAAGGAAACCACTGAAAAACTTGACCCAGGGCAGACAAACCCTGTAGCATATATGGAATACCTACTTCAATTCGTCATTGCAGATATACAATCCAGATGCATCTGGATAAACTTCTAGGAGATGGTCCGCTGTACACTTTATTATTCGTGGACGATTCTTCATATATGGTAGCAAAACTAAAAAGGAATATAAGAAATGGGACTACACTATAAATTTTCGATAAAGAGAGTACTTAGTCCTTGGAAAACATGGAAGGGATCTAGTAATTGATGATAATAGTGTCGTGTCCCGCATAAATAATTAAAAGGGGAAAGTTTATTTAGGGTTCCTGTATCGTGGTTAAGTCTTGGAAGCCATAAATCTGAGCACCTCGCAAATAAGTCAACACTTTGTCTTATAACTTTATTTATTGAAAACACTTACACTGTACTGTTATACCATATACTAAGACATTAATTACAGAAATGAACAATTTTGTAAAGATTTAGAAGCGAATCAAGCACGTAAGATAACTACCCATGCCATCCCGTTCCCAGGGATAGATATACCCTCGGTACCGAAACGAAGAGAGAGGGACGCTTGGGGTGAATTTTTAAACGTCGCTTTCGAAAGCGTATTTTAGAAACTTGCTCCAAATTGCAATAGTTTTCCAGAAAAGTTGGCAAAAGCTAAAAATCTTCAAAGTTTAAGCAATAAAAAACACTTAAAAACTTCTCTCTATAAAAAATTATCATTTTGAAATATTTAGGCGTCACTTTTTCAGAGACACGGAAAAGTGACGTAGATATAAACAATGAAATAAACCAAGGAAGGCGAGCAATTCAACAACTCAATTCAGTGTTGTGGAGACGTACAATAACGAAGAAAAATAAGAAAAGTATTTATAAAATAATGATTGAAAGCATTTCGGCTTATGGCCACGACGTGAGGGAATTAGGCAAAAAAAGTAGACCACGACTAAGCGCTATGGAAATGAACTTCTGGAAGGGAGCAGCTGGAATATCAAGACTACAGCATGTTAGAAACGAAGTAATTAGAGAGATGGTCGAGAAACAGGAGATCATAATAAACACAATAGAAACAAAACGCCTAATTTGGTTTGATCACTTGCAACGAATGCCAAAAAGTAGATGGCCTAACATCTGGAACTGGCAAGTTCCAGAGAGAAGGAAATGTGGAAGGCTCATAACATACTTGAAGCAATGGAAGCACAACTCCTACGGCAAAATGATTGGGAAGATAGACATGCCTGGGACGGGGATGCGAGAGACGACATGCGCCTCAACAAAACTCACATTATAAATATATATAATTGGGTATACCAGGAACCCTAATTTTTACAAAATGTCTCAATCCCACTTTTTTTCGTAGTATCGGCTTTACTAATTCATAACCATTTACAATCAGTCTGAATTTAGAAAGTTTTGAAAAGCTTATCTACTGGCTTAATTTCGCACAATGCGAGGTAACATACAAAAGTTATTTTTCGGGAAATTCTCCACAATAAGAGAAAAGAAAAAATTTAAAGCTTTTTAAGGGTGTTACGATTTGTTAAAAAGTTTTTGATAGTTCAGTTAGTTTGGAATAATTTTCAGAGAAACGGAGTGATATTTTCAGATAGATGTGGTTCAAGAAAACATATTTCACACCTTCATTTTGGCTCGTGTGACATAAAAGAAAAGTACCAGAGGATTATAAACGAAACGTAGTAGTAACATTACCTAAAAAGAGGGGCGCGGATAGGTGCGAGACATTTAGAACAATTAGCTTAACTTCCCATGCGTCAAAAATCTTAACTAGAATTGTACAGAGAAGGGTAGAAAAAGGACGGGAGACCTATTAGGGGAAAATCAATTTGGGTACATAGGATTTGAAGATTTAGAAAAAGCTTTTGACAATGTTAAATGGGACAAGATGTTAAATATACTTTAAAATGTAGGGATGAGTTACAAAGGTAGAAGAGTGATTCTTAGTTTGTATATAGAACAACAGGCAATTCTAGGGCTAGGGCTGCAACGTAGAGAAGTAAATATTAGGAAGGGAGTCAGACAGGGATGCACACTGTCACCCCTACTTTTTAATCTATACATCGAAGACGCGATCAACATCATTAAAGACACTATAACTGTAGGGATAGATATACAGTGGCAAAAGACTAGTATGCTTAGATGTGCAGATGATATAGCAGTATTAGCATCTAGCAAGGAGGACCTAGAGATAGCTTTAAATAAAATGGAAGCGGTACTAACAGATCAATACTGTATGAAAATAAATAAAAGTAAAACTAAAATACTGGTAAAATACAGGGAAGAAAAAGTAGGGAAAGAGCGAATATAAAGATAGGAGACGAAAAATTAGAAGATGTAGCTGATTTTAGATATCTAGGAAGTCAAATAAGTCAGGATGGAAGGAGTATTAGGGATATAAAGAATAAAAATAAGTCACTTGTATGCTCGCGAACGGTTAATTTAGAAATTCGAAAAAGGTTGTTAAAGGTGTATGTCTGGAGCGCGGCGTTGTACGGGTGCGAAACATGGACAGTGGGGGCGGCCGAAAAGAAAAGATTAAAAGCCTTCGAAATGTGGTGTTACAGGCGAATGATGAGGATAACGTGGGTAGAAAAGGTTAGAAATGAAGAGGTATTAGAAAGAATAGGAGAACAGGGGACTCTATGGAAGTCAATAAAAAGTAGGCGAGATAGGTTGGTAGGACACCTTCTCAGGCATGAAGGTCTAGTCAGAGACATATTAGAAGCATAAACAGGAGTTAGGAGGGGTAGAGGTAGACCTAGATTAGATTACTGTTCGCAAATAGTTAAGGATGTCGGCTGTTCTAGTTTTAGGGAAATGCGAAGTTTAGCTCAGGATAGGAAAGAATGGAGGTACATGTCCAACCAGCCTAGGACTGACGACCTTATGATGATGATGATGACATAAAAAAAATCCGACAAATAGATGTGATGTAATTTTGTTCGGTGAAATTTTGCCTTACCTGTATATGTATTTAAACTTATCTTACAAGTGGAATCAAAAGTTACACTTCTCCCTTTTTGCTTATTGTTTTATTTACATTTGTTTTCCTTCTAGGTAAAAGTTGACAAGTGTCGATTCTATCCAATAAATTCGTCGTTGGAAACCCGTTTACTGTTTAACGACCTTACGATTAACGGGCGCGTCAAAGTATTCGAAGACGAAAAATTAAGAAGAGAACCGCTTAATCCAAACCCCGACGACACTTGTAGCATGATACTTCGCCTTCGCAAAGCGGGAATAGGGTATGAAACTGGACAGCTTCTCAGAACTTTTTGATGAATTAAAACCAGAATCTTCTCTTTGCTCTTAATTTCTTCTTTTATTGATCAAAAATGAACTCGGGAAATATTTGCAACCAAGAATATCTTTCATTGTTTGCAAAGTGAAAAATTAGTTGCACCAATTTCTCAAACAATTTAAAAACATAAGAAAACATTGCTGATTTTATTTTTTATAACTAGCGTTGATGCCTAATTAAAACAGTTATTATGTGATCAATCACCAGATGTTACTTCAAATTAGGCTCTATGTTTTTCTGAAAATTGGAAAATGAATTATTTAATTAATTTAATGCACAAAAAAAGGGGACAAGCATGCAAAAAACACAAAAAATATGTTCATGTTTTCCATCATTTGTCCTTTATCCCTTAACTAGTTTTTTGTAAATATACAGTGAAGATGCATGATTACAAACAAATTTATTTAAAATTCAGGGTTTTCTTTTTTTTTTTTGGGAAAACGCTCCGACACATCGATCTTTATTTTTGGCTGTGGGGGTTTTCAAGGTAAATTCATGTACCCAGGGTGGCCAAAAAATATGTGACTACCACCGACTTTATTTTTTCAAATGGAAGCATCTATTTTTTATTATATTTTTGAATTCTACATTGAATTTTACCTACGTTTCATGTACTATCTCTTATACCTAAAGTCAGTAGTTAGCGATAAATTAACGAAAGATTTCTTTCAAATTTTTTGGAACTTTATTATACAATGAAACAACAATTTATTCAATGAAATGTTCAAATTGCTAACCATTAACTTCCTGACAATAAGCAAGTCGATCTTTAAAGTCTCGTAACACTAGTTTGTGTATGGATTTATTGTATTTTAGATATAATTCTATTCTTCAATACTTCAAATATTTTTCCGGTTATTGAAGTAGATCGATAACGTCTTTCCTTCCGATCAATCTATTTAGGAAAATATTAAGAACAAAAATCAAATTCCGCGAATTGGGTCGGCTCTGGCGCAGCCCAGGAGTGTCACAATATAAAATTGCTTCCGTCGAAAACTTGCCCCATTCATTGGGCTTCGAACGTACATCTGCGGAGCTATGGATTTTTAACGGCGGCCATGTTCGCGAGCGCACAGCTCCTAAGTTTGACGTTTTTCGAGCTGTAGCTGGAAAACGGTAGGACCTATCGGAAAAATTCTTTCACAGACGGATGCCCCGTCTCAGCGCGAACGATATGAGCCGTATTCGGTCGCATTCGGTGTTGATGAAAAATTGAAAATTTTTAAAAATTTTTCTCTTCGAAATTTTTCCTGTACAATTAGGTCCGGGCCAACCGTTGGTGAAAGAATTTCTGCGCTATCTTTAATGGTTCGCTAGATATGTTCTCCTAAACATTTAACCCTCGATTTCGAAAATAACACTTGGCTAAAATTTCCGACAGCCATAACTCCGAAACGGAACCTCGTAGGTGAGCGCTTTTACTCTAGAAAATTCTGATAACACTCCCATACAGATCGGACAACTCAGTCCGGAAACAGGGGCCATCCTGTGACCTCAGGAAAACGTTAAAATAAACAAAAAGCAAATTCCGCGCATTGGGTCGACTCTGGCGCAGACCAGGATAATCTCATGCTATTCATGAATAGTGTGGGGGTTCTCCATCCTGTTGGAACCATACCGAATCTACTGATGTATTTGAGTTTTCAGCATTTGGGTAAGGGGCAATTAATCTGGGTATTACGTAATTTGTAGATGGTCTAAATACATGAAACATAGAAATATACTTAGACTGTCCAAAAGTCTAAGTATATTTCCATGTCTTTATTTATTATACCGTTACAACGTTTCGACTGTAGTACCTCCAATCGTCATCAGGAAACGTTTCGACTGTGTAATATCTCCAGTTACCTGATGACGACTGGAGATATTATACAGTCAAAACGTTGTAACGATATAATAAATGAAGACATGGAAGTTCGAAAGTCTAACTGTATTTCTAATACAACCATGTTTGTAACTTCCAAAAAAACGTTATATGAAACATAGTTAAAATTCGATGCAAAATTCAAAAATATAATAAAAAATAGGTGCATCCATTTGAAAAAAGTAAAGTCAGTGGTAGTCACTTATTTTTGGGCCACCCTGTATACATGAATTTACCATAAAAAATCCGCAGCCAAAAATAAAGATCGACGTGTTCGAGCTTTCTCCCAAAAAACAAACGCGTGAATTTTCACGCGTCCTCACTGTATACATACTTTCAATATCCTTACAGGAGCACGTAAAGTGAATAGTTTTCTTGTACGTACCAATGTATACAAAAATAAAAGAGAAAATACTAATACATGGACTTCCTAATTCAAGAAAAACATATTAATAGAAAAAGGTTCGAATATGAATCACCCTGTATTTACTTAAGACAACGAATGTACCCCGTTTAAAGAAAATGAATATTCCATTGTTTTGTTCCTAATTTAAATAAAAAAACATTTTCAGGTTTCATACGGAACCAATTCGACGAGATCATGGGCAGATTAACGTAAAAACAGACTCTCGTTTTTTGGAGCCCGGTTTTATCAGTGTTTATGCATACGGGTGCGAACCAGCGCGTTTGATAAGAGGTCAACGAGGCAGACTACTCGATATTGACGAAGAGGACGTAATATCGAGAGAAATGGAGGACATTTTCGTAAGAGGCATCAGGTCACTTTTGACCACGTATATGCAAAAGGAATTGCAGCCCGCTATCAAGGAAACTTTGATGTCACACATGGGATATACAATATCATACGGGTGAAATAAAAAAGCAACAAGCATGAAGAATGAACCTAAAAACTAATTAATGGGCACAGAAAGTTTTGACTGTTCTTTCTAAGTCCATTTTACTTATGTACATAGAAAATCGTTTTGTATAACGAACAGATAAATTATTTAGGTTCTTTAATTGTAAATATTAATATTTCTATAAATAATTAGTCTAATAAATAATTGTTTCCAAGGTTTTCGCACAAAAAAGTATGTGTACTTGCACAAGTAATAAATTTAGAAAAAAAAATAAATAAAATAAAAACAAGGCCTAGTTAACTGACCAAATAAATGTAATAGGAAACAATTCACTGCATGAATTAATTTTGGGAAGAAAAGTACAAAATGAGAGCAAAATCTTATATATTACATTTGAAGGAATAAGCAAATAAATTAAATTATTTTATCTGATCAATTTTTTTTTAATGAGGTCAAAAACTACCAGTTTAATAAAAATTTCGTATAGTGACAGATATTAATGTGAGATGCATGACGAATAATAATAAAACATCGGTAGAAAAATTTACAAATGAAAAGACACTAGAAAAAGTAACAAGGGGCGCTATGAAAGTCGACATGAAAGGACAGATATGTCGGTAGGGCATCTAAAAAACGAAGAGCTAGATATCGACATATTAGAAGCATATACAGGAATAAAGAGAGGCAAAGGAACTGTTCGCAAATAGCAGGAACGTGGGATATTGTAGTTTTCGGAAAATTGGCTCAGGATAGAAAGGAGTGAAAGTGCGTGCCCTTTCACTCTTTAGACTGACGATCTTGAAAAATCCAAAAAAATAATAAAATAAATCTTTTCTTAATTATTCCCGAAGGAATTTGCTTTATTGAGTATTTTTAACATTCCTCGCTTTATAATCTCTAATTACGTAACTAATATACACAATAGACGTACGTAAGGAAAATAAATATATAAATAGAAACAGCAACGATGAGGTATTTTTTAAAACATGACTAGAGGAAAGTGGAACAATGAAGTCGTAAAAAATAAATACATGGTACTTATTACATTTAGAGAAATAAATCTTACATATTGTGTACTACATTGAAAGAACTTGTTTACCTTAGTTTAGATAAGTCATTAGTCTATTCAACTTTAATATTGCCAAACTAACTTAATAGGTTTAATTTGTTCACCATACTTTAATCCAATGGAACCACCAGTCCAGACATAAATAATTGAACATTCAGTGTAATTTCACTTATTGTTAGTTACTTTGATTTAACATTTACTACAATATTATCAGATCAACTTTTCAAATCTACTATAATTTTACACATTAATTCATAAGTTGCAAAATACATCCCTGAAGTGACTACGGCTTTCAACAAACTTGGATTTAAACCTTTGTAGAACCCAATTACACCCTCTATTGCATAAATTTTACGTATGCAATCCATCATTCCCTGACAAGAAAAAACCTTCCCAAAAGGCTTTCTAATATGTTCAATTCCCTGAATTTGTAATCTTTTTTTTGTTACATCCAATGGATATACAGCAATTTTTGCAAATAGCCCTGCAATACTTCCAGCAGTTAAAGAACTACTAAAAGAATAATCTTTCTCTTTACTTCCCATTAATGACTTGAAAATGTTGACAAAAAATTTATAAGACATAAATTGGACACCTGCATATGGTACCACTTGAATAAATGTTGGCAATAAACCCCGAAATAGAACTGGAACACCTTCATGCCTTATAATATGATAAGAACAATGAATGAATCCTGAATATAATTTATGCTCTTCACCTTGGGCGATTAATCTAGTTCTTATAACATCAAATGGAAAAGATGAAAGTGTTGCAACACCTCCTGAAATAGCTCCACAAGCAAAATTGGAAATATGCTTGTGATTTTGCAAATGTGGAGTCCTTCTAGTTATTGATGTAAGTGATTCAAAGCACCAGAACTGCGCCATTCCATAAACAACAGATAACCATTGTGCAGGAACATGACCTTTCCAAAGTGATAGGAAACCTTCCTCAGCGATCATTAATTGAATAGCATGCAAAATAGATTTATATTTTCCCTCATGATGATGAGCAATCTTTTCAACTTGTAATTGGAATCTAATTTTCAATACATCTAAAGGTTGACATAATCCTCTTGTCATAAAACCAGAAAAGGCTCCAGCAATAGCGAAATCATTTTTTGTAAGCTTTTTCTCTTCTACTACTTCATAGTTCACCATTTGTTCAAAAGTTTAATTTCAACTTTAATTACAACTTTTACATTATTACACATTACAGTTATTTTAAATAATTTTATATATCAAATGTAACAATTTAAATTAATAAAAAATTAATTTTTTAAATTTAGATTAACCTTGTTTCATGACAGATAACACTATCCATAGATTAAAGGAATATTGTACATAGATAATAATATTGTATCCATAGATAATAGATTGTATCTTTAATCTATCAAACTATCCGATATCATATCACCATTCAGCAAATTATTATTTCCCATGACATAAATTAAAATAGAAAAGGACAAAAAATTAATTGCCTTTAAAATGATGTTTTTAGTTCTTAAAACCCTTAATGACTAAATAAATAAATCATACACAATATTAAATTTAAAATAATTTTTTACCGATAAAGGGTGTATGTAAACACCCAAATTATTCACAAAAACCATAAATCCATGTATTTTCCATAAATAAACGTCAAACGTCTGCTTCTGCATAACCTCAACTTTATTAATGTTATGTTGTGTTACAGTTTATTTACAGTTATTAATTGAACTAATACATAAAGTTTTATTTTGACGATAAAAATGGTGTGTGACGATACGTTGAAAATTAGGAACTTTCCAAAAGAACTTACGAATGCCGAAAAAGAAGATCTTTTGAGACATTTCGGAGCTAGTGATATCAAGATTATTACATCAAAAGCGAAGCAAAAATCGGTGGTATTTGCAAAATTTAGCTCTAAAGAAGTTGCAAAAAATGTCTTACTTCGATTACACCAACTTAACGTTTTAAATTCGAGACTCGTCGTTGAATATGCTGAACATGATATCGCCGGAAAAACTCAAAATCCTAACATTGAACTCAGTAAAACGACAGAACATAATTCCAAGAAGTACCTGCAATCATTTATAAACAAACTTAACGCCTTTAACAATTCAGTAAGTTTTTATCAGCCACCTGCTTCACATTTAAAATATGTCTATCCTAAACCTAATCGAGCAACAATCAACAACATAGCCCATGCTCTTGCATCCATTCCAAAATTTTATACTCAAGTACTACATCTAATGAACAGAATGAACTTGCCACCGCCATTTTCTGACGTTCCAGACCCACCTCAAGTACGACAACCTATTGTGCATCCTGTTGTTCAAAATAAAACAGAGTTATCAGAACAAAATGTTAGAGAAGAATCTTCTGAATCAGAAATTGAAAGTGACCCTGAGTGTAGTAATCAAAATAAGGGCATTATACCAGAAAAAAGAAAAATGCCTCAAAAAAAAACTGTGAAGAGACCCAAGTTTATTAAACCAAATGTTGCTGTAACACCTTCAAGCAATAAGTCTGTAGGAAAAGCAGAAGATGTCTTTGAAAGAATTGAAATACAGTCAAGAAAAATAGAGGTGAAAGTTTCATCTGATAATTTTGATATACCTCAACCAAAGCCAGAGGTCACTGAAAAAGAAGAAGATATAGAAGAAACAGTAGAAACACCTAAATCGGACATGATTACTGAGGAAGAACTTAATGCCAATAGAATACCAGCCAAAGATCTTGGAGTTGTGCCAGTTTATAAGAACTACCATTGTGGGGCCCCAAGTTCTAGACTTTATATTAAAAATATTGCAAAAAATGTTGAAGAAAAAGACTTGGAGTATATTTACAAACGTTATTGTGTTGAAGACAACAATAAGGAAAGTACTTTCGATATAAAATTAATGAAGGAAGGAAGAATGAAAGGTCAAGCATTTGTAACATTAAACAGTGTGCAAACAGCTCAGAGGGCATTAAAAGAAACAAACGGATTTATTTTAAAAGATAAACCATTAGTTGTAGTATATGCACGATCGGCAACAACCACAAATAAAAAGTAACTTGAATGTATGAGTGAATTGATTAATAATTGTAAATACATATAATAATAAACAAGAAATGAAATGCTTATATATATTATTTTCATTCTCAACCAATTTTAAAGTATTCGATGCTGAATACATGTAGATCGTAAATAATTACTCAATCAAACAGTATCATAATTACACGATGTAATCTTTATGACGGTTTATGTGTTTTTTGGTTCATTTACATATCAAATTACAGGAATTTTCTCTGCGATTTTGCATAGTATCCATATGTTATTGACCGCACAAAATGGCTACCAACGGTCGCCATTGTGCGGTATAAATACTACACATCCTTAAAGGCTATATGAATATTTTCATTATACTTTACATTTTTACAAATATTCATTAATTATTAAAAAACGGCGTTTTTGGAGTCATGATAACGATAGTTTTTAATAATTTATTAGAGGAGAGCGATTACTTAGCCACAGCCATACCATCAGAAACCATAAACTATCTGACCGTTATCCATACACTTTCCAATAATATGAAAAAGTCCATAACAAATAATTTGGCTGATCTGTTTGTGCATGTTGGTGAACGTCACGGCCGCGTCATTATCATTGTCTAGGTTGTTGATGTTTCAGATCCACATTAAAACTAATTAAAAAATAGTTAAAATGGAATTGATGAATAATTTTATAAATAATCAGTTAACGTTATGTATTCCAGTTGCTTTAGCTCTCGTAAGTGTTATCTTAGTCTTCGTTTTTGGATTTAAATCGCCAGAGCAACCGCAGTTCGATAAACTTACCCTAATTTCTAACGAAGAACGAAGAAATTTCACTAAAAAACGGAAAACAAAAGAAAATAAGGTAGGTAACATTGATGTTAATTTATTAAACCTGTCATAGTTCATGTTTATTCAATAACATGAAGGTTATGCATAGCCATATGCCAAGAAGAAAATCGTTTAATATACTTAACTTTTTTTCTTGGTGTTACTTTTTGTTGACTAAGAACGTTTTGTTTTCATATACTTTTTTGTTTAGAAAAGTAACGGACACGTTAATCAAGACAATTCAAAAAATGAGAAGGTAAAAGAAAAAAACATTAAGAAATCTCCTAGTAAAGAAAACCAAGAAACCCCTAAGCAAAAGAAGGATAAAAAGTCTGATGCTAAAGAAACTAAATTAAATGAAAATAAGACAGACGTTGTAAAGGCAAAAAGTGACGATGTAAAACCTAAGAAGGCTGCCAAGAGTAAAGTACCAGTAAGCAAACCTGTGGACTTTGATGATGATGGCTGGGAAACAATTCCCAAAAAGAATGACAAAAAGAAAAAACAAGAAACCCCGACTAAGAAGGAGAACCCAAACAAATCATTGAAGACTTCTGAGAAAGAAAAGAAAGACGATTTGAAGAATCAAGATAGTGATAAAGAAAACAGAATTGAAGTAGTACTTCAAGTAATTACTCAACAATATTCTCTAAAGGCAGATAAAGTTGAAATAACAAAAGCCGAAGAAGTTAAAGGAAAAAAAGAAAAGAAAGTAAAGAAACCCAAGGAGAATAAAGTAGAAAAGTCTGAAGAAAATGAAGTTCAACCTGATTCAGCTCCTAAATTGCAAGAAACTATTGAGGTGAAGAAAATTGAAGATGTTAAAGAGAAAAAAACAAACAAAAAGCCAAAGGAGGTCTTGCAAGATAAAGAACCCAATGTTGAAGAAGAAAAACCAAAAGAAATTTTGGAAACACCAAAGGAGGTTAATGCTGAAGAAAAGAATGCTGACCAACCTCAAGGTAGTGTAGTCTTTGATGAACTTGGGGGTAAGTTTTACTGCAGTATTACAGCAGACACTACAAAGTGTGAACAGAAAAAAAACATTGATTCACATAACGAATGTTTAATGTGTAATAAACATCTACAATTAGTAATAAGATTTTAAATTTTTTAATTTTTATTTATATTTATCAAACATTACATTAATTCTAATCAAGCAGAAGAGTTGTTCACAGAAGTGCTGTAGCAATCTTCCACAGGTTGTAAATTGTTTTTCATTTTCGCCAAATGGAAACAAATTAGTTTTTTCTTTTTAGTTATTTGACCACAATAAAAGTTTTATTTCATTGATCATGAAATCACTTTTTTCTGTATTGGGAAACTCTGAACTTTTGAATGTTTTTTTTTTTGTTGGGTCTAATGTATATACCTCTCTGCTTTAGAGATTGATTATCTTTTCTATTTTTGCGTTACCATTATTTTGGCTAAATATGTAAAACTTTGACCATTATTTAATTCTCGAATCACGAGCAATTTTTAATAAGGAGTAAGTCACATTGGTTTTTGAAAGCAACATTTCACATATTGATCAGGGATTTACAACAATAGTACAACAGCAACTGCGAAATTCAATTTTTAAAGCTACTTGACATTCGTTTTTATAGGCGAAGGTTTAGTTTGTTCTGTGATGTTCACACTATCGAGTGTTTAGTGTATCTTACAAGAAATTCTTCTCTCATTGTTATTTTTAACGTTTCCAGAAAGTTGGACTGAAGCAAAAATGGTAAAAAAGAGCAAAAAGAAAGCCCGCAGGGACAACTAATCAAACTTGCATTAACAGGCAACACTCTCAAAAATTGATTACAAAAATAATAATATGAGAGTAAAGGTATGTGATCACAATCATGCCATGAGACTGAGATCTCCGTTATTCATAATTTAAAGACTTAAAATAACCAATAAAAATTTAATTTGTGACAAAAAGAAATTAACACCAATTTAAAAAGTTTGTCTTATTATGTAAAAAATTTTCGGCTGTATTTCTTGGAAAATTTTGTGTGAAGCTTAATGTGAACGCTGGCCATTGTGTAATAATCGTATCTGTACATTATGTGATTGCCTTAAAAATAATAGTCATATCTGTGTATGAAAATTACCTTATAATTTTTTTTATGCAATTACTGTTTTTTACGTTTAGTTTGGAAAAAAGATTAATCTTCCCATTTCCAAAAATAAATTAATTTGACTATTAGTACATTCTGTTAAATAAATTCATTAGTTAATTAGCTTAAAACTTTTCTACTTTATTTATTTTAAAGTATTGCAAATATCGATATCTTTTTTTTTTTTAATTTTGAAGATAAGCTTTGAAATAGGTGAAAAATGAAATGAGTAAGTACATATAAAATTAAGGTTACACTTTTTTAAAAATAGGGTATATCTACTTAATGCTTCCATCAATATTGTTTTCATTTTATCAATATAATTTTCCAGATTCATAAACTTGGCTATTTAAAGAATTTTGCGCAAAATCGCTGATTCAAACTGCACACGTTTGGGGATTTAAAAGAAAACTTGACTGTTGAAAGTATGCAAAAAATAATGATAACGTTAAGTAGGCATGCTCTGAAGTTAAAAAGGGTACCTACCTAGAATTTTAGTTGCACTCGTTTCATTTTTCACTAATGTTCAAAGTAGTTTTTGTGAAATCCATCGCCCTTAAAGCTTGAGACATTTTTCTAATACTATCAAAAATATTTAAAGAGGCGAACTCTGGTACATACAGAGTGATCCATTTTTGTGATTCAATATCTAAATTTTAGGTTTTATTTAAGATACTTAAATTGTTCCCGTAATGTGAATAACTTCGTATATTTCTTGGTGCATTAGAGCGGAATAAAACTATCTTACGTTGAGTAAGTTTAATTTAAGCAGTAATTCTCCTGATTAAAATTTTCGGCTATTTTACATACAATATGATACTTCCAGAAGGAAATAAATACCTCAGTATTTTTCTATGTATACAAATTTATATATATTTCACAAAAATATATAGATAACATTAAATTGCTTCCAAACAAACTCATTTATTACAAACGACAATTTTTCTACACTTTTTTAACCGCTAACGAAAAATTACTTTCTTCGCATAAAAAATATTACTTTAAAATGCTTATGGTGTTTAATAGACGAATTAGTTTGAAATGGTTTTTCTTATATGTAAGTAGGTGTATTTTGGGAAAATAGACGTTAAAAAATGCTTTTAGAAACTAATTTTACCCTGCATTCCATTTTTTTATTTCATTTTGTTTACTGTAATGTTGAAGGTGTAAATTTTAAAATTTTTGTTGGTGTTAGGTTTACAAAAATATTTTAAGTACTTTATGCGTTGTCATGATATTTTAATGAAATAAAAGCCTTAAGGCCAGGTATACTTGTGTTAATAATATAAGAAAACTTTTTAATCTTCCACACGTTTTTCTAGCTAAACATTATATCTGTGTCTTTTTGTGTCGAGTTTGTATTTTATAATTTTTAAAATTTATAGTCACTGCTACCAATTTTAATGTCTTCCAAAAACTTTTTTTAGTCAATATTTGTTTCATATTATTTTTTTCATATTAGATAATTTATAGTTAACTTTAATTGTATTACTTTTATTTTTATGTTGCCATTTGGTGTATAGTTTAATTGGGATTTTTTATTAATTAATAGAACGTTTTATAATATTAGGTTGATGTATGAAGCGGTCATTTTTATGTTTGTTAAGAAAATAATAAAACGAATATATTTAATTTAATATTAATAAACCTAGAAAAAAAAATGTTATTCTACAATCTATCCATCTACTTATACATCGATGTAATAACGACCTGATAGAAATTTTTTAAATACGTGTTTAATAAGTGTTTACTTCTTTTCTATATAAATAGTGTACATTGTAATGGCAATAACAAATTGTTAATCAATTTATTTATGTAAGAATAGTACAAGAAGGAAATGTATATTTTGAAGAAATTGAAATTTATCTTTTAATAATATAATTAACGAAAGGAATAACAAATAGTATCGTATGTATCATAACATATTATTTTCAAAGTCTCCATAGTTTTCTATCTATTGTGTATGTACATAAACAGACTTTACGATGTTATATAAGAGTGGTTACATTTTTACCGTTGTCAACTTAAAATATGTGGATTTACTTTACTACTGCTTTGTTTGTATAAGCGGGTTCTTATTTTTATTTAGATCTTGTGAATGTGAAACATCATTTAGCGCGCCTAAGGGCTAACCGACTCAAGCGTGGCAAGACGGGGCGATCGTCTTCTCGCCCTCACAACATTTTCACTTGCACTATTACACGTGTACACACTACTTCATTTGTAGTATTTATGTGATTTAAAAACAAGAGCGTCGACAAAAATATTAACGACTTATTTCTATTTCCATTTTCACTTGCTTCAGTAATAACGAGTTTCGATGTTTCACATCACCTAGATGTCTTGTCATAGCGAATTTTCTTCTTTCTTATATCTTTCGAGGGACAGAGCAGTTTTACTACCATCAAGATGTACTAAAACTGTGCAATACTTACACCTGTTCTCTATCTAAAGTAGGTACACTTTATTGTTTGGAAGTGCTATTAATCGACCATGAAACTCTATATGCTTTCCTTTTCTGGACAATATAATAAACAAAAGAAATTGTCGTATTATTAGTGTTATTTTAATAGAAGTTTATTCAAATTATAAAAATATAAATGCAAATATTAACTGTAGGCCCTGTGTAGAACGGGTTTCTAAAGACAAAAAATTAATTATTTCCCATCTAAAAAATAAATAATAATTCTCTTTAATGTATTTTTATAACAAATGATCACAAGTTTATTTTAATTTTTGCTGTTGCTTATTGAGGGAGGGCTTTATTCATATGCGTTTACAAGAAGATATGTCTGTGTATAGCTTTCGATATTGTAAATAGTACTTACTTTAGTAAACTATTTATATGTGTGTGGTTTGTCACAATTATGGGGACCATTTTTAAAAATATATTTTAAAATACAGCACTTTCGTTTTATTTACAGCTAAATGACTTGTATTTGTGTTATTGGAAAGTTGGTATGACATCAGAATGAAATCGTTATTTTTGAAAAGTACTTTTACGTTTGCTTTTAATGTTTGGTACTGCTAATTATTAATAAAAACGGTAGATAGATACGTTAATTTTCAAATAAAAACCCTCATATTTTCAAATCTCTATTGTAAAAAGAAGTGGCAAGTATAATAATTAGCAACTCTGGATAATATACACATACTTAAATATAAACTAAATAAACCTTTATGTACTTCTTCAAACCATTTTACCAATAAGAAAGCTTGCAAATTGCCATAAAAATATTAGTTTCATTCATAATCGTGATAACCAGTTTACATTTTTAGATTAGCTCCTGCAAATAAGTTGCTTTTTTCTTATTTACCTACTGCTTAGTTTTCTCACNAAAATGTCTCTTTGGAAAAAATCACCAAAAATTTATTCTAAACTGTATTATATGATTTAAAAAATTAACACTTCTAGTTATCGTCTTTCTTGATGATGATAACGTTAAATAGGCAGTACGGGTTATAGTTAATTACCTACTTGATTTGTTTTATTTTTACTAATATGTGTAACGATAATAGTATTGTTGGGGGTTGACTTCCCAAAAAGTATTTATTAATTACCTCAATGAATGTCAATACTTCACAAACAAAAGTTTTTTTTCAATTAATACTACAATTTAAAACAACAAATGATAACGTTGTAGTTAATTATCTACTCGATTTATGTATTGTAAAAAGAAGTGGCAAGTATAATAATTAGCAACTCTGGATAATATACACATACTTAAATATAAACTAAATAAACCTTTATGTACTTCTTCAAACCATTTTACCAATAAGAAAGCTTGCAAATTGCCATAAAAATATTAGTTTCATTCATAATCGTGATAACCAGTTTACATTTTTAGATTAGCTCCTGCAAATAAGTTGCTTTTTTCTTATTTACCTACTGCTTAGTTTTCTCACTTTTTTGATTTCTTGAATTTTTTGGATTTAGATTTTGTTGCTGTTTTTGATGGAGACTTTTTAGAAGGTGATTTTTGAGACGTAACTTCCACAGACTTTGACTTGTTAAGAAGTTTTGTTGATGATTTACTTCTAACCATCGTTGACCTTTTGGAAGAAGATTTTTCTGGAGATTTTGACTTTGACTTGGTCTTCTTATGCGATTTACTTCTACTCGACTTTGTAGTAGATCTCGATCTTCTTCCTAAACCTTTTTTAGATTTGATCACTTGTTTTGGCGCAGTGGTAGAAGATTTCACCGCTAGCTGATGCATTAAACCATCGGAAACTCTCATAAAAGAATCATACGTAAATTTTATACACCATTCACCTAGGGGGTACCATTGAAAGGAATAAATATGCAAAAATTATTATTGGAGTACGTACCTGTACAAAATTCGTCACCGCATTCTTTACAGGCAATAATTTTCGTTTCAACAACTCCAGCTTTGTTCTTTGTCTTCTTTATTTGACGATCTATACCATAAGACCGTCTATCTTTCGCAGATGTTTTTATAGCTAATTTTCGTAGTTCCACAAGCCTTAAAGAATAATTTAGAAATAATCCTACATAATTTTAAAGTGAAGTATTCCTGTTTAAGTTTATCCCTTGCTATTCAGCAATCTTCATAAAATTAACTCCTAATGATGTTGATTGTGCTCGTTAACAAATCATTCATTAATACGATATTTTTTAAAGAATTAACTATATTTTGATTCCTGAATAGATTTTCTTAACCGTTTTACTATACAATAGTTTCTTCAGATGGGAACAATTTAATATTTTCAAAAATTGTGCATATTTTATTTTTTTAAAATGGAATAGTGGAGCCTTCCACTATTATTAATTACCTGGAAAACATTTCCTCCTCGGTTCTTGTTTTTGGACGAAGTAAAGTTAACATTTTCCATTCTATTGGTACCACGGCTAATTCGTCAATGTTAACTTCATTCATCTCAGATGGAACGGGATCTAAGAACGCATAAGACTGCTTCAAAATTTTCAAGTCTTTCTTCCCAGCCTTAAACTTAAAATTCTTTTCTCTAATCTTCAAATCCTCGGCGCGAACTTTTTCTGGTTTAATTTTGAATTCTGGGAGTTTGTCGTGAAGTTTTTTGAATTCTTCTGGAGACTTGGCGGTCACTCGGAATAAATCCAAAATTGGAGCAGTTTCTTTTTTCTTAGTAAGAAAGTCATCTAACTTTGCCATTTTATAGCAAAATCCTAAGCCAAAACGAATTAAACATTATTTAGGTATTAAGGACGGATTGTTTATACCAAAGCAGAAATTTAATATTAAAGAGAACTTTCTTTGCTATTGTCGTGTGATAAAGAAACAGATAAAGTGCAAAGTGAATCGGTTTCTTCCTTGAGGTGTAGTTGATTTTGAAAGGTGTTCGTGAGTCTATCTGTTATTTCGTTATTAACAATTAAATTCTGATTGTTATTATTCAGATTATTATTTTTGGTGTCGTGGTCTATTTTTAAAATATCGGTAGTAGTAGTATTACTATTATGACAACGACAGAAGCACTTTTCACATTCAGGCAACTTGTAATAAATTTGGTTGTTGTGTGTTTCCAAGGGAATAATTTCTGTTTTCAGTGGATTCAATCCACTTATATTATCCTGTTTTTGCCACAAAGCTCGGGTCCTTTTCTTTATTGTTTCATTGTTAGAATATACATTCGCACTCGCAGTTTCACTGTCGTCACTAGAGTGTGGCGAATAGTTATTGTCTTTCCTTTCGTAATTTCGTGATTGGCACCTTTTCGTTCTTGATTTCCTCCTTTGATAGAGAAGATCTTTTTCGCTTTGTTTTAAATAACGAGTGTGGGGTCTATTTGCACCCCATTTTGGCCTGTCACTCAAATTCAAACTGTCGGAAGTTCCCACCCTGCTCCCCCTTCTACTGCTCTCGTAATTGCTAAAAATTCTTTTCTTTTGAGCACTGATCCTGTTTTTATTGCATTTTCTTCGATCCAACAGAAATGAGCTATCAGTCTGAGTGCTACTGTTACGAAACTTTCTATGCCTATAAGAAGAGGGGGTTAAAACGCGATTAATAGTCCTTTTCGGTGATTGTTCTTCGCCAAATGTTGTAATTGGAATTGCGATGGGTACTAACGAAGTCCCTCCGTTGCCATTTGACATTAGTAGTGCAAATGGCATTGAATTTATTGTTTCTAAAGACGGTTGTAATATTAGGTGTTGGTTCGGAGTCTGAATTAATTTTGCTGAAGTACCTGGTCTATTATTTACAGCACAATCTATTGAATTATCTAAAATCTTATTACTACTTTCTTGGGAAACCTTTTTAATTTCAGTTTCTTCAAAAGAGGTATCGATTTCTTTTAACTGCTTCCTTATTTTGCTGTCTTCGACTTCTTCTTTACTTTCAGGTTTTTGGCACTTTTCTGGATTTTCAGCGGAACATTCTGGTAAAATGACGTTTGTTCTAGTTTTCTGTTTTCGCATTTCTTCCGCCTGTTTCTGAGCCAATTCTAATGCCTGCTTCATTGCTTCTTTACGTTTTTGCTCTTTCTCTTGTTTTTCCTTCAACGCCTTCTGTTCTCTTTCTACTCGCTCCCTTTCAATTTCGCGTTCTTTTTCCAATCTAACTTCTTCCATTCTTTCTTCGTTCAACTTTCGTTCCCGTTCTTCTTTCTTTTTCCGTTCTTTCTCTTCTAGCTGAAGTTTGATGGCTTCCTGATGAGCTAAAGCTCTTTGTCGTTTCTGTTCCCTTTCCGCCACTTCAACAGGATCAAGTGGTATATTTTGGCCTCTAATAAACGAACTAAAAAGACAACAAGGTATTATTTAAAAGTACTTAGATAAGACCTACTTACCGAGTTTGAGAGCCACTTGAGCCGGTACTTGGCCTATCATGATCAAAATCATGCTTATAATCTTGTTCTGGAGATTCTGATGGCGAACTGTTTGCTACGATCAATTCCACGTTTCGTTGTAGTCCCCTTTTTAACCATCCCGGGGCATCCTTAATTTTACTAATTTCATCTGGTGTCTCCCAAAACGTTTTAACGTCCGATTGACTCCCCCAAGGATTGGCGTATTGCTCATTCCACTTTCTTTGTTCTGGAGTGTGATTGGGATTGTCGCTTCCATAACCTGACGTCTCGCCACCAAAATCTTTTTCGTGTTCTTCGTACGAAGAAGTAGGACTTTGGTGTATTGGCGGCAAACTAGGTCGGCGATTTAGTTCGTTATTAGGAGGGTAAAGATCAGAATTTGAACTAGCTCGAGAAAGTTGTCTTGATCTGAAAGGCGATCGGCTAATTTTCATCAATAGGCATTATTAACAATTTGCTTAAAAACATGGAAAGAATGTGACCTTTTATCCTCTTTAAATGCATACGAAAATAGTTATTGAATTTTTTATATTAGTAATCCTTCTCGCCGTGCCTGTGAAAACCGTTTGTATGTGATATACTTACATGGCATTATCATAATTTTAAATAAATTAAATTAGATGTATGCTAAATAATTTATACAAACCTAGTTTGGATAATCTCTTTGCCCCAAGGTGTTCTAAGTCGAGATAGTTCTTCTGAAGAAAACGAAAAATGATATGCGCGACTTGGTCTAATGTGTGGCAAAATTAGTTTACCTTTCTCTCGGGCCCACTGTTGTTTCTTTCTTTCTACCAAAGACTGGGGTTTGTGAATAAAAGTTGACATATCATTTGTACTAAAAACAAAACCTCGTTAATTTAGTATTTCATACAAATAAATTATAAGAATATCTCGTGTGCGTTTAAAAAGCTTTAAAAGTTAATTAAAGACAAAATTTCCGCAACCCTTATGGCTTACAGTCCTTCGGTTCCCAGTTACTTTCGAATGATATTGTAAAATTTATAAAAAAAGAAAATAAATATTTGAAAAAAAAAGCTTTAACTAATCAGAGTTCTCGTCTATGTATTTCAAAAAAGTTTACAATATTTGCTATAGCAGACTAAAGGAGAATCCCAACCAAAGTTTATTTTCTTTTTGCGATTAAAAATAATATATCTAAAGCAGTGCTGACTTGTTACGTGCATTTCTAAAGTACATCAAATTCATTTATTTTGTGGTAATAATTCTTATAGCCTTCAGTGATGTGATAATGATCAAATATCGGAATTTTTTCAGTTGGACAGTTAAATATTGATTATGGGCGTATGAATAAAAAATTATTCCTTTGTTGCTGTCTATCAATTTCTAAAATATCAATAAATAGCATAATCTAGGCGCTCCAGTCTATAATGGTCGGAAATAATCCTTTTATTAACAAATACATTTAATGTTTAAATGCTCTATTTAAATTAAAGGTTTGCAACATTTTTCTCTAAATTTCATGTATTCCTAAATCAAAAAAACTTCTAGCATTAAGTATATGAACTCATTACATATAAAATTGCTGTTTTTCTATGCAGAAAAGGTCGGGGTTTGTGCTCTGAAATTTTTAAAGGACAGACTTCTATAATGTAGTTCATTTTAGACTTTTTAATAAAGATTTTAAATATTTTAAGGTATTTGCAAGTCCAAAATTGGGGGTTCTAGGAAAAGGTTTTCTATTTTACAACTCTATTTTACTTATTATATTATTTTTGAATCGATAATTTTTGAAATAAGTAAAATAATGATGGTATAATGTGACACAATTCCTAGTAAAATTGGAATTTACTAAATTTATTGTAATTAATGTACCAGCATATTTTTATTTTTATTTCTTAGTTAAACGATTTCTAAATTTTTTAACGAAAAATGTCCCTTATGTACTATCACAATTTATAGTAAATGAAAAGTATAATATTTTGCTTTTTTCTTGTTAAATTATAAATACAATAAATAAAACTTTTAATTTACAATCTTATGTACAATAAAAAATAATGGAAAAAACTAATTAATCAACTTTTAAGGCTAAAATCCACAAGAATTTTGAAAATATTCTAACAACTTTGAAACAAATAAATAACGAGTTCAATGATATTTTTATTAATGAAAATGTATACGGGGGATCTTTACCTGGTTACAAATAGGTAATTATCTTACCCCAACAGTATAGTTTTTCACTGGAGATGAATCACCACGAGCTTCACCAGCGACAAATATATCAATATTGAAGGGAAAACGTTAGTTTGGTCAATAAAAGGTATCGCTATGGAAATAGCTACACAAACAATGTAGGGTGAACAACCCGCATTTTTCGTTTACACGTGCATTATTTTATCGCTTAATTTTATGCCAGTGTTTCATAACACGCTAAGTTTCACTTTTCATGACCTACCGACCAGGTAATTTCCCAACACGTTTCAAATATGCTAATGTGTTTCCTCATAAATAAAATTTGCCTTTTTCCGGGAAATAAAAGTAGTACAGATTCCAGGGATAACAATTTCCATTAAATGTGTTCATACAAATTTTATGCTTAAAGCTTTTACTTGATTAACTGCAATGATCGATGAAAATTTCCAATTTATTGGGATAACAAAAGAAAACGAGTAGGTTATCACTTGAAATTAAAATTAAAACGGTTTTGTTGCTATATAAAAATTATTATTATAATTACCTATTGATTTATTTTATTTTTTATTCCAACGGAACTGCAGGCATTTGAAGTTTATGGTAAAATTAGTTTACCTTTCTTTCCAGCCCGCTGTTTTTCCTTTTGTTCTTTATTCTACCAAAGGTTAGAGTTTATGAGTAAAAGTTGGCATATTATTATCTTATCTATATCTATATATCTATATAAANAATCGTAGGAATGAGACCGACGAAATGAAGATAGAAGAGAGTTAGTCCTTAATAATATTCCACAGTTAATATAAAGATTAATCTTTACGGGCCATGAATCCAATACAATATTTGTCTTAAATCATACATGCGAGCTTGTCATGAATTTAAAAAAAATAGTGTCGTTAGTTGTGAGAGTTACCCTTCCTTCAATTCATAAATTGACCTTTTAGCTAACAAAATCCCACAAGGTACTTGAAAGAAGTAAAAATATTAAAAAAAATTAGTTTGTTTTTATATTCCAACCATGTGTCATCCAGACTTAGGGACGAAGAACGCTTACTCCGGGGACATTCTTGTAGATCCCTCTTTTTAGATACTACCAAATTTTCTTTTTTTTAATATTTGGTCTTGATCCTGCGTATTAGGTCTTGGGTTTAATCTTGATCTTGTTCGTTCGGTCTTGTTTTTAGTCTTGGTCTTGTTCGTTTGGTCTTGGTCTCGATCTTGCTAGTATAAAGACAGTATTGGTCTTACATTTTCTCAAGATCAAGACCAAGATTGCAAGACAAGACCAGTTGTGCTTATCATTACTTGAATAAGAGATTTAGTGTGCCTTAAGGCTTTACATCAAAATTAAATGACAAATTTAGAATTACAGAAAAAGGAATATGAAAAATACGTCACAGAAATCAAAAAGGTCAGAAAGGAATTCGAGATTGAGATTTTATGATATTGAAAAAATTAATGATGTACATCAGTATCTGCACATATTTGCTAAAAAATTTCAGACATGTTTCATGCGAAAGAAAAAGGTGTCAGAAAATGAAATTGTAACTTTGCTAACTTATATTAGAGTATAAAACAGAAATTTCGAAGATTTTTGAAAATGTAAATGTCAACAGTGAAAAATATCTGAATATCAGTAAATATAACAAATATACATACATATGTGAATCGGTTATTCCATATTTCAAGTTAACGAAGGCAGCACATCGTTCTCTACTACTGATTCCCAAGCAGTGATTCATTATCCTTATCTTTGTCGGGAAATACTTACGCTGAACGTTAGGAATAAGCAGACGCAGGCTTTTAATTAATGAAAGGATAGTAAAATAAAATACAAATCTCTATATTTTGTATTAGTTACCTATTTCTTAATTAATGAATATTACAAGAGCATGTCTCTACAAACTGGGAAATCTATCTTCTATCTTCTATATATCTAAAAATTAATTGCTGTTCGTTAGTCTCGCTAAAACTCGAGAACGGATGGATCAATTTGTCTAACTTTGGTCTTGAATTATTTGTGGAAGTCCAGAGAAGGTTTAAAAGGTGAATAAATATGAAAGTTGTTATGTAGATTGATAAATCTTAAGTTTTGTCACAAATTAATTAACAGACTGTATCATAACTGTGTGTGTCTGTCGATATCAATTTGAAACCTTCTAAAAAGCCAATATTTCAGGAAAACTCTGTTTTGTAAGTAAGCAACATCATGTGTAATTAATCGAAAATAATAATAAAAATTCATTCATACCGAGCATTTTTTTTTTTATTAATTATGGATTCCTTTTGTTTATTTTAAGTTTATTTTATACAAAAGTTTAGGTCTTTTATTTATCGATTGAGGCAGTACGAAGTCTGCCGGGAACAAATAATTCATAT